TTAAATGGTAGAATTTAAAAAAAAATAAAAAGGACATTGATAGATACTAGCAAGTCTATTGCGTAAAATTATTTTTAACTATACAGCGTGTCTCCAAAATAAGTTACAATACAAACTTGTGTTTTTTTAATGAAACACTATATGTTTCTTAGCGTTTTTGCATGTAGATTTTTATGCCAATGTTTTTAAGCTAAACTTTTATTGGTCGATTTTACTTAAATTTACTAAATATTTTTATTACCGCAAAGAAGAAGGTACAAGCTATAAGATTGTAGGTAATATTTATTTAGTGTGTTACCTTTGCAAAAATAAAAAATATGAAGACATTTGTTAAAAGTTTAATAACCTTAAAAAATTTAATGTAATACCTTATTTATTGTTTTTGCATTTATAAGATTATTAAATTGTCTTTCTAAAATTATTTTCTTTTAGGTGTTTATAATCAATGAATAAAAAGATATTTAACCTTTAACATAAAAAAAATAATTACTATCGTTTCTGTAACCAAAAAGTGCACAGTTGCACAAGAGGTGGAAGAAATATCACTTAACAATCACATTTGTGTTAAATTGAATCAATTATTCTTTATTTTTACAATAGAACAATTTGAACTTCAGTATTTATAACGACTTTTACAATCTCTGGATAAATCAACGGATAAGTGATCCGTTGATTTGTTGCCATAGTATCAACAATGCTCAGATATTGACAGGTATTGTTGCTACAATTAATATTAAAAATGTTAAATATCATTTATCAATTCTAGACATTAGAAGTTTATTTTTTTAGATATACAATTTATCAATCTATTAGATTCAAAAATAAATAATAGGGTGTTCCATTTAAAGTATTTAAGTTATCTAACTTAATTAACTTCTTAATTTATTAATCTTTACAAATGCAAACGCTAAAAAATTGCTACAGCTTTAAATTCTGTACTTTCTTCTTTCCAGAAGTAAGAAAAAAATTGTTTTACTGTCTTAGTTTTTGTGTAATAGATTTTTGAAAAGTGCATGTTTTTGTCAAAAAAACGTCTTATTTCTAATACTAATCGAAATCAACTAATAAAAGTTTAGCGCCAAAACATTGTTTTAGAAGGCTACATGCAAAAATGCCAAGAAACATACGGTGTTTCATTTAAAAAAACACAAGTTTGTATCGTAACTTATTTTTGAGACGTGCTGTATGGTTGAAAATAATTTTAGATGATGCACTAGATTAGTATCTATCTTTGTCCTATACAATTTTTTTTTAATTTTACCATTTAAATGGCACTAATGGACTTTTTCAACTCGCTGAGACACTCTGAATCATATCAGTTGTTAAAACACGTTAAGGCCCACGTATATAAAAGAAATCCCGTAGGCCAGGGTCTCGAAATTTTTAAATTGTCTCAAAATATTACTGTAATTTAATATGTTATGTTTAGAAATGACATTGTAATTTTTTTTTTTTGAAAAAACTGCATGCATCACGCGGCCCATTATTTTCTAATTATTTATTCATTTTACAATGTTTTCACAATTATTTGTTTTTTTGAAAGAATAAAGACTAAATTTTGAATAATACCTCATTTTGAAATAAATAAATAAATTTTTAATTGAATAAATAAATAAATTTTCCGCTACTTATTACGAACTACAGGTTCAAAGAAAACGTAATTTTCCTTGACCATCAACATTGGGGGCCACGCGAAGCGGCCTTTCGAAAGAGGTACCACTTGACGTACTATTAGATTTGAAAAAAGGGTTAGAGGTGGCTGTGTGTACACGCCAATTGGTGGAGAAGAAAAAACAATAATTGACTTGTTTTGGGTTTTTTACAATAATCTCCTAAGTATATCCAAGTTATGGATTTTTTTCAGTTAAAGTTTCCAGTATGTATATTTGTGGTACCTGTGGCTGCGAAGTGACGGGGGGCGCTTTCGAATACGGATCAACTGGCGCTTCGCCATCTTCACACTCCGAGGATAAATCCCCGGAGCTGAAACGTCTTTTCAGGTAATTGACATTAGAGGTAAAGGACTGTCTAAAGCTGCTGAACGAAATGGTGGGGCCGTTTGCGGTGGGGCCGCAGTATTTGCCGCACTCGGAAATTTTGCCGGCTCTGTTTAGCCGCCCCCTCTACACGCCGTCGATCTGGAAAAAGAAGAAAAGAAATTGATCTCGTTGTCAATGCTGATAAAAGCGTTATTGTTAGCTCTTAATAGAAAACACTAATTGTTGGAAGAACGAGCTTAATTGATGGCCATTCCTTATAGGATTTTTATCACACATAATTCTAGATGGATTTTTTATAACTACAAATTACGATTAATCAAAATGTGATGAGTTTGTTTCATTTGTTTACTTCCATTGCGATTTATGTGGGCGAGATTATAGATAAAACGGTAAAAACTTAAATTACATTGGGTAATAGGATTTGTAGTTGTTGCAATGTAACACATGGGAGCTCTTTAAAGGCAATGGTGAAATTTCGTCCGGCGTTTCTGCGCTCTACTGACTTGATAATCACCGTTTAAAACCAGATTATTCGAGGCATGGGTGGATGGGGGTTCCTATTCTCATTTCAAATTACTAATTACAGCTAGCAGCGAGGAACCGCTCATTGTCATCATAACAAAATAAAGATTACATCTTATGTTTTTCTTAATTAATTTTTAAATTAATTCTTGTTGTACTACGAGCGTTAAGTCATAAAAGACGTTTCGACGCGATATTTCCTAAAAAACTTTTCGAACAAGAGTCAGAGATCTAACACAAATAATGGAAGCTAGAATAAAATACTATTATAACTCCTTACAAGAGCAGAGAAAAGGGATCAACGGATAAGAATAGGAGCAGAAGTACACAAGCAAGAGTAACGATTTTTTTCTTAGATATTTTTAAGAAGTTAAGAGTTATATTTTTAAAGCTTACGTTCTGTGGCAAAAGTATCGAACGTAGCGGACTGTTTTATTGGTAATTGTATGATATCGGTCAAGATCAAAGTTCTTTGATGCTAAAGTATCAAAACAAGAGGGACACTCGATCAAAATTGTAAAATAAATGTTCCGGAAAGGCTAAAAGGATTTAGTAAAATAGGTATAAATGAAATGTCTACCGTAACAAGAAATACTTATACAGGGTGCGCCAGAAATCGCGACCCAGAGACAAATGCCATATAAGGTAAGATACCAGGAACATGGAAAAAATGTTAAAAAAAAATTATCTATAAAAATTTCGACGTTATGGGGGTTTAAAGTTCTGCTGTTTAAAGTGCGCTAGTTCTGGCGCACCTTGTATAATAAAAGCCAAAATTATGAATAATCTTATTAAAACTGAATTTATTTTGTTTTGGCATAAATGCTTGAACAGGATTTTTTTTTAAGAAATACACAAGGTCGACGTCATCAACATCGACAAGTTGAGAATTTTGTATTTTTAAAAAGAAAATTGATCTATTCGAGCATTTTTGTCAAAACAAAATATGTATTTTCAGTTTCAATAAATAAGATTATTCCATAATTTTGCCGCTCACTATATAATTAAAAATGTACGTGTTTCTTCTACTTTTTTTTATTATTATTTACAAACTACAAATTTGTGTTCTCTAGCATCACCGCAAGTGTCTAAAAGTAATGAAATAAAATGAGAGAATGCTGTCAACTTACAAGTCAAATTAATTAGCAACTTTTGTTTAATTGGTGTGACATAGCAAGAGGTAAGCTATAAAATTAATTCTCAGTAAGATTTGTGATTTAATGTAAATGAGTAAACAATTCAAACAAAATTGTCGGAAAATTTAATACGACTATTTGACAAAGTTTATCTCAAAAAATCTCGTTGAAGTTAAAAATTGTACACTAATGGTGGATGCGCCGGGTTATGTCGATATTGACACTGTTCCAAATTTAAACGACGCTAATAAATGACATTTTAAGTGGTAAAACATTTAATTTTTTGCAAAAAAATTAATCATGATTTTGTAACTTACGATTTTAGTATTTATTTGTATTTATTTTCGAATGTGCATTAAAACATGCCATTGTTAGGTCAAAGATTCTAATCAAATGTTTGAGTGTGTTGTATTATGATTTTACAAGTTTTTCTGATTTTTGCTTACAACTTATTCAATTTGTTCGAATTCAGTTACATAACCAGGCAACCAAATTTACAACCGTGTTGTGTGTGTTGGGATAATCTAAATTGTGATTTATAAATCGATGCGTTTTTTACCCTTCTGGACACCTTTTCATTGGTTCGTAAATTTTTTAGTAGAAATTTGCATAAGGAAGCTTGTTCGTGCATGGAGTACAAGACGAGAATCGACTTGAAAAAGTTCTTGTGTATAATTTTCAGCGAGACGACATAGTCACACTACATGCAATTTTACAAAGATTGGGGTCAGTTGATATGAGAGGAACAAAAAGCACCCACGCAAAGACGAAGAAAGACACATTCTATTGATCCACACAGACGTGCGTTTAACCTAACTAGTTGAATGTTTCATTCACTCGAAATCAAAAGCTAAACTTTGAGTACTGAAATGCTTCAAGCGCAACTTATTTAACTCAGCTGTATGAAAAATAATCTACACTTAAGGCGCTTAGTAAAGTTATACGTACGATTCGTGAAGAAAACGGCGATTTTTCAGTAACTGAACGGAGCTTCTGAAACCGACTGAAATGCGTGCGGACTTTTAGAGGGCGGCTATAGTGGCGCCTTTCAGTGCTGAAATCGACAAGTTGGCGGTCGATAGAAACAGCACTGCCTCTAACGGCTTTAGGGGCAGTTGATTTCAGCGCCTATTATTTAATTCAAATTAATATTCGAGTACGATGAGTCTGAAGCCAAACATTTTTTGTGACTCAAATAATTGTGAGTCTCTATGTCAATGATTGCAAAGGTGAATAAATTTTGCGCGGAAGTCAATTTTGATGTTATAGTGTTAAAGCATGTCTGTTTATACTGTATCAAAACTGCTTTCCGGAGATCCCAACGCTAGCGCAGACGAGCAACTCTTAACTTTCATTCCAGTTAAATTAACACAAGAGAATGGTGCAATTGAGTGTGTTGTAGTAAAACAGTGGTCGTTTTTGAACATGTGATTGTTTGTTTACTTCTCGGTTTAGTAATTTTCAAAATGGGTGTCAAAAGCAGATTGTGTTCCGAATGGTTCTTCCGGATTTTTGCGATTTTTGCCATAGGATGGATTCCGGAGGTACGTATTTGATTGAATGAATCACTGTAATGACTTTCTCTCTCAGTCACACATGTTTAAAAATCTGCGCAATTTTTTTCGGAAATCCGGAGTTTCAATCGCGCCATCACCAGAACTGCTGGTTTTAAAGGGTGACTTTTACTTTTCTATGATATCATAATAAAATTATATAACAAAAGCTTTATCCGTTCGTGGGAATTGACGTCTTCCCCGCCTTGCAATTAATCTTTTATTTAATTATTTGCAATCGTGTGTGGTCACTTTTACTTGAGTGAAAGTGGTAAATTTTTGGACAATACGCTTTCGCTTTAATTTGCCAAATAACTGAGCCTTCTTTTAAATTTCTGAATAACTGTAGTTGTGCCGGACTACTGACCAATTAGAGTCGCTTGCAATCAGTACCGTTATAAAAAAATATTTGAATTAATCGGATGGTTGCGATTTTTACATTTAATAAATAAATTCCTGTAAAATCATTTTTTCTTATGTGTTAATAGTGTTCGATCACGAGACATTCAAATTTATTGTAATTGCCGACATTCCTGATATAATCTGTACAACACTCGAAATGAAAGGATCATTCGTTACTTTGCCACAAGGCGATCAAATCGTTTAATTAAAATAATAATAAAAAACTTCTTGTGGGTTGACTCTACCGAACCGCACCTTTTAAGGCCACACTGCAAATCTTACCGATATATTATCACAATGATGACGCGTTGACCTATTGTCTTTTTCTCATGACTGTTATTATCAGAATTACTCGTTTTATTTGCCAAAGTCGTGACAAATAAATTGTGGAATGGTGAAGAGCCACGATTTTTCAAACACCAACCAATTAACTATTTCAAGCATTTGCATGCAGAAGAATTTTTTCAAAGAATGCGAGAGTCACGTGCGTACGTTTACTTGGCGAGGCTTAAAACAATGTAATTTTTTTCAATTACTCAATTACTTGCCGAAAGAAATCGAATGTGGGCGGACATTTCAAAATGTTTTAAATAAATGTAGGAACATTGCAAATCTTTATGACTTGTGTGCTATGCAATGGAGACCTTGGATTAGCAACATTTGTTTACGGTCTAGTTTTGAACACAGTTACGTGTTGAAAGCTTGAAACGGAGAATATAGGAAATAGCTTTTACCCAATTGTAATGGTCATGTTTGATGAAACAGTAAACATTGTTTTTGCAAGTGATTTGATTCTAAGTCTCGCTGGAATTTCATTATTCGTTTCCTATCACGTTTTCAGTGGAAATTCAAATTTTTTACAACATAAAGGCTTGATATCATGGATGGAGATTGGTTTTTTCTTCGTTTTTTTTTTTCAGTTTTTAAATCTATTACATATTAAATATTGCAGCCATATGATGCAATTAAGTTTTTGTATCCGTTGCGTCCAAGATAAAAGCTGATGAATTAAAAAATGCGACGCATTTAATTGAAAGTAATTTTACTACAAAATCTTTTCAAGTCATTTGGACGAATTCATGCGTAAGATTACTTTTATTGGAGAAACTTTTTTTAAACGCAAGCTAATTTCACTTTACAATTTTTCATTATGCAAATTTGAGTAAACGAACTTTTATTTCTTACTTTGGCATAATAATTGTTCAAACTTTTTTATGTAGATACATTAAAATCCAAGCAATTTAAGAAGCATCTTCATGATCCTCTATTTATAGTTGAATTATTTCAGGTATGCACTGAGTCAGTACGGATGTGCCTTCTCAAAATGCATTGATGAAACACTAAACAATGTAATAATAACTAAACAATTGGAGTATCGTTTTGTTCTCCTTTATGGTATAAACTGTGTCAGTTTTTATTTAAATTCAAGCAACGCTGCTGTTTGTATAAAACGTATACATTTGCTGACAGAATTTTAATAAAATCTTTACTACATAAAGTTCACACAAAATGCAAAAGCTCGGTCAAGTGATTTTAAATTTTATCGGATGGAAAAGCTATTTCCGGTTGTGAAGTACTTTGTGCATGACGAAGATTGCCAAGAAAATGTCTAAGTTTTTCTAATTTGATGATGTCAAAATAAATAAAACTAATTTAAAATTGTGTATTTACAGAATAAATTTGCAGTAAGTCAAGGATACAAAGTGTTACAAATTGTACGTACAGAAACCTAAAAAAGTTTGATGCGAGAATAACCTAGTCAAACTTTTTATATTATCACAATCAGCGCAACTTAGCAATGAAAATTAGAACGTAAAAATTAAGTAATGTAGCCATTTACCTACACCAAATATTAAATAACCATACTCGAAAAAACTACAACCTAAAAGTATTGTTATTATTAAGTAAAATCATGTAATCTTAGTTTAATTAAATATAATTAAATAGGTTTAAAACACACAAATTCTAAAGTATATAACGGTGTTTCTTTTAAATTTGGTGTTAAAGCTATCCATTATCGTTCGATTGTGAACCAACCATGGTATTGAAAGTCACAATTGTGGTCCGTTCACATATACTCATATCACCGCCAATTATGACGCCAAATTTGTATAAACACTCGTTACATCAAGATTTGTTATTGAAATTAATGACGTGTTTATAGCGTTTTTTAAGCATTGGTACATTGATCACTTATTACATTTATAATTTATAGACTTATCGAGAACATATTATATTTTATTCGTTGTATATTTTGTTTCACAAAAAACGATTTTAACGACTCTTCATTTATTTGTACGAATAAAAATTTATTTTAAAATTTAGTCCGGTCAAAATAAACATTTTAAATAACTAAAATTCCGACAGAGCTAAATTTTGGTGGAGATCTTGAGTACACCATTAGGAATAAAGTGTCAAAAGTCCCCATCGATCCCATGTGTGCTAAAAWAGTTATTCGGGGTCAAAGGTCGAAATTTGACGTTTTTTAGATTTTTTTCGAAAACGGTACGTTTTATCAAAAAAGTAGCCCAGACAAAAAATATAGATCTTGAAATTATCTACAAAATGGTCCTTATACTTTTTTTCTAACAATCACCATTCCTGAGATATCGCGATTCTAAAAGTTGAAGGAGTCACGTTCTACATGGTATGCACATACAGAGTGCGTCAGAACTCCCGCTTCAAAGACAAATGCCATGTAGGGTAAGGTACCACAAACATAGAAAAAATTAAAAAAAAAATCTATCTATAAAAGTTTCAAAGTTATGAGAGTTTAAATTTTGCACTTTGACTCTATTTATTTCTGTAGGGAAAATAATTTTACAAGTTTTTTTGCTACAGGCCATTTTAGAAGAAGAAACAAAAAAGCTGTGTCCTAAATTGTAACTCTGTTCAATGTTATTTGTGGCTTTTATTGGCAAAACTTTTGTACCTTTACTAGATAATTGTAAAAAAACATATATAAAATCATCAGTATTATTAAATAGACATAAAAAATAGTCAAATGTCAAAAAACAAATGTCAAATTTTTTTGACAGATAAAATTTTTTAAACATTTTTTTTATGTTCCTGGTATCTTATTTTACTTGAAATTTTTCTTCTACTTCATTAAACTTATAAATATCTCGATTCCATTAGAATTAAAAAGAATTTATTTGGTAATACATACAGGCTCTTCAAAAAATCGCGCATTTCCTTGAAAGGGAGTAATTGGGTAGTCCCCAGAGTACTGAAAAAATGTTTAAAAAATTCTATCTGTCAAAAAATTTTGACATTTATTTTTTGACATTTGTCATTTTTTATGTCTATTTAATAATACTGATGACCTTGTATATGTTTTTTTATAATTATTTGATAAAGGTACAAAAATTTTGTCAATAAAAGCTACAAATAATATTAAACAGAGTTACAACTTAGGATACAGCTTCTTTGTTTCCTTTTCTAATAACCTGTAGCAAAAAAACGTGGAAAATTATTTATCCTACAGAAATAAATAAGAGTCAAAGTGCAAAATTTAAACTCTCATAACTTCGAAATTTTTATAGATAGAATTTTTTTAATTTTTTTTATGTTCCTGGTACCTTACCCTACATGGCATTTGTCTTTGGGGCGCGAGTTCTGGCGCACTCTGTATGTGCATATGATGTAGAACGTTACTCCTTCAACTTTTAAAATCGCGATATCTCAGGAATGGTGATTCTTGGAAAAAAAGTATAAAGACCATTTTGTAGATAATTTTAAGATGTATAATTTTCGTCTGCGCTACTTTTTTGATAAAACTTGCCGTTTTCGAAAAAAAATCTAAAAAACGTCAAATATTGACCTTTGACCCCGAATAACTTTTTTAGCACACATGGGATCGATGGGGACTTTTGACACTTTATTTCTAATGGTATACCCAAGGTCTCCACCAAAATTTAGCTCTGTCGGAATTTTCGTTATTTGACCACTATTTTTATGACTAATTTGACCGGACTAATTTTATCCCAATAATAATAACATCACTAACAATAATATGTACAAAAAAAGTATAATACAAAAGTATAATAAAAAACGCACAATAACTGCAGTGATTTTTTTAACCCTAAATTACTCTCAAAACTTCAAACCAAAATGTTGTACCAACTTTCTTTAGATAGATATACAGGGTGCGCCAGAACTCGCGCCTCAGAGAAAAATGCCATATAAAGGGTTTAAAGTTTGCACTTTGACTATTTATTTCTGTTGGAAAAAATAATTTTCCAATTTTTTTGCTATAGGCTATTAAAAGACGAAACAAGGAAGCTGTATCCTAAATTGTAACTCTGTTTAATGTTATTTGTGGCTTTTATTGGCAAAATTTTTGTCCCTTTACTAAACAATTGTAAAACAAAAACATATAGAAGATCATCAGTATCATTCAATAGATATAAAAAAAATGTCAAATGTCAAAATTTTTTGACAGATAGAATTTTTTAAACATTTTTTTCATGTTCCTTTTATTTTACCTTACTTGAAAATGTTCTCTCTGGGGCGCGAGTTCTGGCGCACCCGTAGGTATAGCTTGCAAAATGCAAGTTTTATCCTTGTGAGTTCACAAAAGTACAACA